CCCTGCGGGACCCCACTGCCCACACCCTTCCAGGTCGAAACCAACCCATCCACCACGACTCTCTGGGTGCGACCCTGCAGCCAATTCGCCACCCACCGGACTGTGTAGTCATCCAAGTCACAGCCTCTTAACTTGTTCACCAGTATGGGGTGGGATACCGTATCGAAGGCCTTCCTGAAGTCTAAGTATACGACATCCACCCCTCCTCCTGTGTCCAGGCGTTTCGTAACCTGGTCATAAAAAGAGACTATATTAGTCAGGCACGATCTGCCTGCTACGAACCCGTGCTGGTTTCCCCTCAGCATAATTTGTCCTGCTGGATTCTCGCAAATGTGAGCCTTGATAATTTTTTCAAAGATTTTGCCAAGGATGGAGGTGAGACTGACTGGTCTATGGTTGCCTGGGTCCTCCTTCCTCCCCTTCTTGAAAATGGGGACCACATTGGCCCTTTTCCAGTCCTCCGGGACTTGGCCCATGCGCCACGGGACAGCAGTGTGAAGGGGATAAAAGCAGCACCGGAGCTTGCCCTGCCAGCGTTCACCAGTTAGAGAAGCTGGAGAGCTACTGCCAGGGGTAGATCCAAGTCATCCCTTCCGTCCCTGCCAACATCTGCTGTGCAGTGAATGTCTCATGTCCCACTGACCACCACTTCTGTCTCCTGTCCCTTGCACAGAACTGGAGTGACCGGGGGATGTGCAAGGGGCAGGGAACAGAGCCAGCTCTGCTCAACCTGTCCCACGATGACTCTAGACATAGAGGACTGCCCCCTGCCCCTTGCACAGAGCTAGGATAACCCAGTTCTTTGCAATGATTTGGGGAATGAACTGCCCAGCTCAAGCCACCTCAGGGATGCCAAGGGTGCTGGAGCTGTGGGGGAATGTCTCCAGCCCCTTCAAAAAACTGGGGTAAAAAACTAGTCAGAAACCCAGGGCAGCACCTAGGGCTGCCAGCCCCAGATCCCTGCAGGGGTGACAGGATGGAGAGCATGCCCTGTCTGCTCTTTGGGTAGCCCCATTGCTGCTCTGGAATTGGGCAGGGCCCCAGTCCAGCAGCTGAGGCTGCAAGCACAGCCCCAGTTTGCCCACAGAGGAGGCTGTGACAGGGAACAGTACACCCTGGAAAGCTGAAGAACCCAACCATACCTTCTCATTCGATATATAACATGCCACACATTCAAATTAAGGAGCAATAGAAACAGGCCAAAAATATGTTCCGCATTTAAGAAGAAAAATCTTTGAAGCTAGTTTGCCATTTTTATTGCATGATAAATTGCTTGAATGTGTGGTATGTGACAACTTATCATGTGATTGTGTTAATCATGCAATAAAAGTAGCATCTGCCAGGGGCTGGAGTTATTAGCAGCTACCATATGAAACATTTTTTTTTTTCATGTTCTTTTTATAAATATGATATTACCTGACAAAAGATGTTGAAGTAAGTTTAAGGTCTGACTTCAATCTGCAAAAAGCTGGGAAATGCAGAGCCTAAAGTCATGTGGTAAAAGTTTATGCTGGATCTCTGATGATTTAGAGTTCAAACCCTGCTCAGTCTGAATCATGACCGACATTCCAGCTTTAAAGATAAACTAAAAAAAAATAACCAATACATTTAGCTCAGCAGTATGTGCTGAATGTCCTGCTAATTGGTCTGAAGGCTTGGTCATGCATTCTTTGGAAGTTAGAGGGAGTTCTGGGTACACAAGGAATGTGAAACTGGGCCCAAGCAGGATATTCAGCACCCACAAAAACAGCTGACGGTTTTTGTCTTTTGTTTTCCATTTCATAATATGATGTCTTGGCCAGCTGGCTCTTGTGTGACACCCAGCATGCATCTTACATCAATGCCACCACAGACACTGTGAGGGCCTGGAACTGGCCTGCAGCAGTCAGATACACTCTAGGGATTCGTAATGCATTGCACAATTTTGAAAATATTGATTTGATTTGTAACGACTGGTGGGCTGACATGATTTGTTGTACTTCCTGAACTACAATCTTGACATTTGGCATAATCACTCAGCATGGGTCACTGGGAAAAAAACAACCTCTCCATCACCTTTCCTTGAGGAAGACACCAATAGATCAGTTTAACAATTAAAAATATCAATGCTAGTTCCTTCTTAGAGGGAGTTTTGTACTGAGATATTTGTGGAATAAACCCAGTGTATCTAGTGAGCCAGGAGCTGCATGTGCTCACCAACAGGCTCAGCTTCTCATTAGTGCTTTCATTACTTCATGCACAATGCCACACAAAAGCTAGCTCCACTAATTCCAGGTCAGAATGCAGGACACATGAAACAAGCATTGCATGTCTCTTTACAGTTCCATGGGGCACTGTAATTGGGCAATAAAGATGCATCCAAAGTTCCTAACTGCTTCTGTTGTGAAGAAATCTTCAGAAATGTAAACCAAGTACAACTGCTGCAGAGGTGTTTTGATGAGTCCACAGAGAACCTGGAACAACATCTCTACAAGCAGTGAATTACCCCATTTATCTCAAGCCCCCTGGAGAAGAGCCATACTCAAGGAACTCAGCAGGGCTCAGCAAACAGAATGATCATATTTCAAATGTTTACACATTTACTGAGAATGATGTCTCATGTGGGTGGAACTTTGTGAGTGGAGTCCGTTAGTGCCACCATTGTTTCTTCCCAGACTTGATGATATTTAAAGCAGACTATATTAAAGTGCATGGCTTTCTTCATATTGAATTGGAGTTGTGGGACTGATATAAATATGTTTGTGAATGGGAGGAGGCAGTGTTCATCAGGGACTGGAAGGTTCCTGCCAGGCTATGGAACAACAGTGCCACTGGTCTATAGCTACTCCATTCCCCTCAAACCCTTGAGAATAATGGAAATAGCAATGGTTCCCCAACTAATGGTTGGGACCATTTGGGGTTGTGGCACTTACAAACAGGGCTGTACCCCCATTGTCTCCCACCAAATTCAGCTACTGTAGATGGGTTCAGACCAGGAATGGGGTTCCTGCCCCCAAAGGATTGAGAACTGCTGGGTTATAGGATGCACTTAATGGTCTTTCCCACTGGCTTCTCTGAAGCAGTTTCCTAGTATGGGCTCATCAATCCCTCTAGGCATACAGTCCCATAAGCAGTGGAGCTGTACTTAATTCTCTTACATCTTTAGCCCCAGACATGGAAGAAGGGACAGGTTTTGATCTAAAAATCCAACTAGATTATGTCTGCTTAATCTGATATTGTCACTGAGAAAGCTTCTTTTTTATGTACTGGACCTTGCCTGCTTAGTGCCAGAAGTTGTCTTGTACTTGGGCATGTGGAGGGGAGCAGAGCAAGCTGACCATGGGGGGAAAAAGAAGAGGAACAGTGTCTTCACACTGCAGTTCTCTTTGCCTACCCAAAGACCTTTTCCAGAATAATCAAAAAGTTGGTGCACTCTGTGTCCTAAGGATTGCACTGGAACAGAGTGAAACTGCATGTAGTATATTGTCCCTGAGCATGGAATAAATAGCTATACAGTGTTGGTCCTCATCCAGGTAGCAATGACAATAACAAGAGCAAAGCAAGGGCCAATGGCAATATGACAATATAGGAGCTATCCCTGCCAGGAAGAAGCAAGATTTTGCATTTTGTGGAAAGAAGGCTTCTGCTCCTTCACTGATTAACAGAAGAGTTACCTATATGTAGTTCACACATGAATCCATACTTTATACTGGGTTGGTTGGTTTTGCCCCTTGTTCTTTCCAAAAGCCACTAATTCCTTTCCACTAACGGGATGGTGTGATGATGGATTTAGGTCTTTTTTAAATCTTGAGATTCTTTGGTGAGAAATTTGGGCCCCCCTTTAGGATCTTCCGTCCAAGATTATATATCATATTTTGAAAACTGTTAATTGTACCTATTCAATTTGCAAAGACAAACAAACACTGGAATAGTTCTTTAAAAGTAACACATCTATTATGAATGTTAAGTATCAGGAAAGATGCATCAGATGTTATTTACCTGCAAAGAGGTTCTACAAGGTCCTTATCAAGAAAATCATGGTCTGTCTTTACAGCTGCAATGTCAATAGGAAACTGGGAATCTATAAGGGAGACATAACATTAAAGCAACTGCTTGTTATTCAAAAGGAAACATACAGCCTATGTTAAAAACATACTGCAGTGTCTTGTCAACAGAAATTCAGTCTGACCTATTTCACATGGTTGTTTCTAATACAATGTCCATGCCTTACCCAGTCATTTATCATCATTTCATGTTTTTTATATTAAAAGTGAAGTTGAAAGACCTGTGCACAAAAGGGGTGGTAACATATCTGAGTTTGTATTGATAAAATGTTAAATTATAAGCTTTTCTTTCTGATCACTGGTAGGAAAAAAGTGAGAGCTGAGAATAACTTTAACATTCCTATTTTTCACATAAGAAGTGAGGCTGTCCAATCCAACCCTTATGAGTTAGGGAAATATTTGCTTGACAGATTTTCCCATGAAATAAGACTGTTTTGACTTTTTGTTTTTAACATAATTCACAATACCAGAGAGTTCAGATAAAGGGTGATTGAAGTAACAAATGAGAAGAAATGAGCTTAACGTACTATTCACCCCAACTATTAGCTGGAAATTTAAAAACAAGGCTAGAAATCTGGGAGATTACAGTTATAATAAAAAGTGACATGCCTCGACAAATTACTGGGCTCCAGTATAGCAGTGGAATGGATTCCAGCATTGTGGTTACGCTCCAGATTGTTTTGAAGTCCTTTATGTCCCACAGGAGTCAAAACTGATATCAAAACTATGGCCAACATTTTTAAACACTAAAAACAAGTGCCTGAGTCCATTTTCAGATGTCTATATACATGACCTGATTTTCAGAGCTGCTGAGCACCCTCAGCTCATTTTGACTTTAAAGGAATTGTGGATGCCTAGCACAGACCAGTAACTGGAGGGGCCCAAGGGAACATTCCTCCTCATCTTCAACTTCAGGTAAAAAGGTAATATTCTCCCAACTTTGATCTGGAAGAAAACAAGGTGCGGAAAAGAGGCTAAACCCAGCCCCCGGGAAGTTTGTGCTATGCAGAAGCAGAGCTAAGCATTCTCACCTTCAGACAGACTGGGTAAGAGGAGAAAAGGCTTACACCCCTCTGCTGCCAACTCCAGATTCAGTCATGAGAGGCAGGCAGAGAAAAGAGTTTCCCTTCTTCCTGTGGGCTCCACTAGCTCCAACAGCTTTTGGGCCAGGGTTTCAATATCCCTTTACTTTTACTTGGTTGCTGATCTTGGCTTCTACTGAGAGTGGAACAAATACTGAAAGCTCTGGACACTACCTGCTTTGCATAATGGCTGCATTTTGAAACTCATTTTGCACTTATTTTGTGTTTTCATTTCCATTTTCTTTCTTGGCTGAGTTTCCCAATCTCTCATCAGCATGATAAAATAAACTTCTAACCTCCCTCCTCTTTCTCATTTTTCCTTCATCATCAGGTACTCCTCTCTTGTTTCTCCCCAATCACTGGTTATATTTAAATGTCAGTAGCATAATTAAGGGTGGGCAACCAGGGCATGAGCCCCAGGTACTGAGTAAAAGTGGGCACTGGGATGGAGACAAGGCGATTCCAAGTCTCTGGATGTGTGGAGTGGAGCTGAATCAGGAGTTCCCCTCAGGGCATAATACCTATCACAGAATAATAAAATAATAGAAAATTAGGGTTGGAAGGGACTCAGGAGGTCATCTAGTCCAATCCCCTGCTCAAAACAGGACCACCGCTAACTAGATTATCCCAGCCAAGACTTTGACTAGCTGGGCCTTAAAAACCTCCAAGCATGGAAATTCTACAACCTCTCTGGGTAACCTGTTCCAGTGCTTCACTAACTTCCTCATGACAAAGTTTTTCCTAATCTCTAACCCCAGCTTCCCTTACTGCAACTTCAGACCACTGCTGTTTGTTCTGTCATCTGCCACCACAGAGAACAGTCTAACTCCATCCTCTTTGGACCACCCTTCAGATAGTTGAGGGCTGCTATTAAATCCCCTCTCAGTCTTCTCTTCCCTAGACTAAATAAGCCCAGTTCCCTCAGCCTCTCTTCAGAAGTCATGTTCTCCAACCCTCTAACTATTTGTTGCCCTCCACTGCACTCTCTCCACTTTGTCCACATAGTTTCTGTAATGGGGGGGCCCAAAACTGGATACAGTACTCCAGGTGTGGCCCCACTAGTGCCGAATACAGGGGAAGAATCACGTCCCTTGATCTGCTGGCAACACTCCTACTAACGCAGCCCAGTATGCCAGTAACTTTCTTCATCAACAAGGACACACTCTTGGCTCATATTCAGCTTCTTGTCCGTTGTAACCCCTTGGTCCTTTTCTGCAGAGCTGCTGCTTAGCCAGTCAGCCCTACCCTCCGGCAGATCTACTACTCCCCCCAGCTTGCTGTCATCTGTGAACTTGCTGAGGGTGCACTCCAAACCATCTTCCAGATCATTGATGGAAACACTAAACAAAACTAGTCCCTGCATCAAGCGTGGGGCACTCCACTTGATACCAGTTAGACATCGAACCATTGATTGCTACCCTTTGAGCCTGATGATCTAGCCAATTTTCTATCTTACAGTCCATTCATCCAACCTATACTTTCTTAGCTTGGTTGCAAGAATGTTGTGGGAGACCATATCAAAAGCTTTGCTAAAGGCAAGGTAGATCACAGCCACCGCTCTCCCCGCATCCATAGAGCCAGTCATCATGGAAGGCAATCAGGTTGATCAGACATGACTTGCCCTTTTTGAATCCAAGCTGACTGTTTCTAATCACCTTCTACTCCTCCAGGTCCTTAGAAATGGATTCCTTGAGGATCTGCTCCATGATTTTTCCAGGGGCTCAGGTGAGGATCGCTGGTTTGTAGTTCCCTGGATCTTCCTTCTTCTCTTTCTTAAACATGGACATTATTTTTGCCCATTTCCAGCTGTCTGGGACCTCTTTTGACCACCATGATCTTTCAAAGATAATGGCCAGCAGGTCTGCAATCACATCAGCCAGTTCCCTCGGCATCTGTGGGTGTGTCCAGATGGGCACGCATGTGTGTCTTGCAGTGTCTCAATGCTTTAAGAGGCATGTTTGGGAATGAGAAAACATCCTACACACTGCAAATTTGCAGCACAGGGGCAAAATGAGACCCCTGGATATCCAGGGGTCAAAAAAACCAAAACAAAACAAAACTGCACGGTCCTGGACCGTGGCAATGGGAGGCTGGGTCCTCCACAGAGATGCTCTGGTAGCAGCCGGAGCATCTCTATGACTGGCCCTCACCCTGGTGCTGAAGAATGCTACCTGCTGGTGCAGAGCAAGCAGCATGCCAGCCACAAGGAGTTGGACCTGGGCTC